ATTGCATTCCGATCAACATCCTCCCCTTACTTCCGCTGCGCTGCTCCCTTCAAACCGTGGCCCACCTTTCCCAACCCCACCTTCCCCAGGCCCACCTTCCCCAACCCCCCTCCGCTCTTCTTCGTCCCAAACGCCTCCTTGTGCAAAAACAGTGCGCCCCACCTTCCGCCCTTCTCCCCCTCCGCTTCCGCCTCCGCTTCCCCCTTACTGCTCCGGATCCGCGCAGCTTCGTGCTGGAAAACCACCAGCACGGTTCGCGTCGCCATCTGGAGAATCGTGTGGATGCATCGCTTAAAGATCGCCGGCGGCGCCAGCGACGGCTGCACCACCTGATGCAGCGTCAGCCGCGACGCCACGCGCACGCCCGCGCCGATCGCGGCGGCGTCGCCCGCGCCGGGGTTCGCGGAGCTCGGCAGGCGGTCCGGGCTGCTGCTGGCGCTACCAGGCCAGTCAGAGTCCCCGTCGGGGCAGCCCGACGGAAAAGAATCCGAGATGGGTGATTGCGGAGCGGAAGTGAAATCAGGGGAGCAGGGTGCGGAGGAGGAGGAGATGGAGGCTAGAGAGGTCGGGAAAGGGGCATTCGCGGACGACGCGGGGATGAGGAGCGGCTCGACCTGCCAGTAGCCCTCGAATTTGCGCATGAATCCGGGTTGCGTGAGCGCGAAGGTCATCCTGCGGTTCGGGCGATCGTGAACCATCCGCACTTGCGCGTCGAATGTGCCTGTAAAGAAGGGCAGCTGGAACGCGAAGACCATGTCCATCTCGAGCTCCTTCACCCCGTTACAGTCACTCACGACGCGCTCGTTCTTCACGGATTTGATGTTCTTGAACACGCGCCGGTTGTGCGGATCGCACACGATCGAGAAGACCGAGTCGGGAGGAAGCGCGACCGTCGCGACGCCGTCGAGTTGACAGAGCGCGTTATCGCCGACGGTAACCGTCATCGACGGAACCTCGTCGACGAAATCCGGATCGTCGAACCACGTGGCGAGCTGCGCGCGCATGGCCTCCTCCCAGGCCTCGGATGTGACAGCCGGAGTGCCTGACGTGGCGTTGGTTGCGGCTGACGTGGCGTCGGTTGGGGTTGACGTGGCGTTGGTAGTGGTTGACGTGGCGTCAGTACCAGTGGGCGATACGAGTTTGGAGGTGGCGGCGAAATCGAGAATCGAAAGAAGTGAAGAAGCCATTGCGACGGTCGTGAATCGTTGATTGGCGAAAGCGGTGACAGCACCCGAAACACGAGGATAAGAGGATAATAGCTCTTAGAGACTACAAGATATGACGCAAAGGCGATGCGACTTAGATGTCGCGACGCCCGGTTAAGATCTCAGCGTCTTTTCTTGACCCTTGCGCGCACTGAGGGCGTTTTCGCCTTGGTACGCAGACAGGGTCAGACGTCGAAAGTGGGCTCTGTCAACGAAGAGAGCGACAGCAGCGATGGGACACAAATAAGTGGCGACCGATGCGACGAACGAGCTTGGCGGAGGAGGGAAATCAGGAATCCGAGAGCGTCAGAAGATGAGGGAACTCGGAATTTTGTAAGCAAAAAACGCTTTTCTGTGAGTGATGCGACTTACGATGGTGACTGGGACTGGTCTAGGCGGTGATCGAAACGGCACGGAGCACCAGCGAATGAACTAGGGTAAAATTTTCACAAGAATGAGGTGTGAGGATCAAATAGCGAGTAGGGAAAGTAGGATGTGACGGATATAACGCAAGAAGCGTTATATCCCAAGAGGCGAGAACATTGCAAGAAGGGGAGGAAAGGGGCTCGCTAGGCTTCCCTGGTAAGATTGGTCCCAGGGAGTGGCCTGGCCAGCCAATACGTCTCCCGTACGGGTGTTGCGTTTCATAACGGCTGGAGTGATGTGAGAACACCCGTCTTGAACCGCGTATCATGAACTGAAATTGTATACGACCCATCCCAAGAGGTTGCGGGCTAGATGACAATCGGAAGGTCCATGTGGCATCTGAATGGTAATGTGCTGAGATGTCGATCGTTGATTAGACGACACATTGCAGTGTGCTTGTATGTAACTGTCGCATGGCAACTTTCGCGAATGCTGGAGACAATCAGGGATGAACAGATGCAAGGTAGGAAGGGACGGGGCTTTGCTCGCACCGCGAGTCCGCGACACATTTCAGGAAGATGCGCAGGCAAGGTGTCTCGTCCGGTCGTCTCGTCTGGCGGCGGCAGTTCACTAGGGTTGACGACTGACGACGATGCCGACGACGACTTCACTCGTCATAACGGCCCTACTTTTCCCCGAGCCGCCGCTACCCCCGTCACCAGAGTGCTACCTTATTGGTCACCGCATTCTAGTGACCGTCAAACCTGCCAGTTGTTGTGGGGCTGTGTGTGGTTCGAAACGAGTTGCCTTGCGGCTCGATAAAAGAATGGCTACAGAAGCTTCCCCGTTTGTGTCAGCAGCAGTCAACAACAGACTCGCGCCTTCCCCGAACACATTTCGATAGTGGAGTGCTCGTTGTAGTAATGACAACATGCTAAAACATTACACTATCTATACACAACCAGTTGAAACAGGAGCTTCCGATGTACACTTTCACACCACTTTCCAATTATTATCGATTCCACTTGGGACCAATAGCTTCTGACGGCAGGAGCCTCGTGATTCGATTCGATTCTGAAAAAGACCTCTCGTTTTGGAGGCTGACGTGACGACGGTTGGTTCTGACGGTCACGGTTTCGTGGGGTGCAGCAGAACAGAGCAGAGAGCAGTGCCCCTTCTTTCCCTCTCCCATTCCACCCATCCCATCCCATCCATCCCATCAGGGCGTGTCTGAAGTGCAAACGTCGAGTTTCGTCAAATTTCGTCGACGAAACTCATCCGTGGGACCCACGCGTGTTGGTGTCTGAAGTGCAGCCTGACATCCCTCGACGAAACTCGACGTTCGTGCACATGTCGAGGGATGTCGAACAGTGATACCGTGCAGCTGTTTGAGTCACTGTAGTCAGTGAGTGTTTCAAAAACAATTCTTCGACACGCCATGTCTGCATAGCTGTGGCAAACACACGTGAATAAGAACTAAGACGAGAGCGACACGTGCTAGAGAAATTTCGCTGGCAATGTGACAGTAGAATATCCGGTGTTACCAGCAACAATCTATGCTAAGCGAAATTCGCGAGATTGCAAACAATTGAGTTACATGAATGATTCTGTTAATTCCACGTCGAATTTTCATGGGCAACTTATAACAGTGTTCCTATGGCACGTGTGGGTTATTTTGTGTCCACACTCGGGCTACGTTCAATGCTGACGGCTTGAAGGAAGCTTCGAACTAGTTTCCAATAGCCCCAAAAGATTTTGCCCTGCGACGTACAGTCCACAGCTTTGGCTGGGTGAGGGCGTGTCTGAAGTGAATTTCGACGTTTGCCGACGAAACTTTCGTCGACGTTCCTTGACGAAACTCGACATCCGTTTTCAGCTGTGTTCACTTCAGACACCCACACGACAAAATAACCCACACGTGCCATAGGAACACTGTTATAAGTTGCCCATGAAAATTCGACGTGGAATTAACAGAATCATTCATGTAACTCAATTGTTTGCAATCTCGCGAATTTCGCTTAGCATAGATTGTTGCTGGTAACACCGGATATTCTACTGTCACATTGCCAGCGAAATTTCTCTAGCACGTGTCGCTCTCGTCTTAGTTCTTATTCACGTGTGTTTTGCCACAGCTATGCAGACATGGCGTGTCGAAGAATTGTTTTTGAAACACTCACTGACTACAGTGACTCAAACAGCTGCCCGGTATCACTGTTCGACATCCCTCGACATGTGCACGAACGTCGAGTTTCGTCGAGGGATGTCAGGCTGCACTTCAGACACCAACACGCGTGGGTCCCACGGATGAGTTTCGTCGACGAAATTTGACGAAACTCGACGTTTGCACTTCAGACACGCCCTTAGGGGGCATGCTGAAATTATCTATCGCTCCCACTTGTTTCACTCTACAGTAATAAGGTTCAGAACTGTATAATCAGGCTGAACATTCAATCACTCACCCAATCAGGCTGCATCTTGTGGCACCGACAAATGTTCCTTCTCGCATGTCCATCTCAGGGATGTCCCTCTGGCTGACACCACAGGTCCACAGCACAGCCAAGTGTTTTTCCCTCACTCACTCGGATCGGGTCGGGTCCGTCAGTTCACATCACATCGTATCGTAACCACTGTACCAGGCAGACCTACAAAAGTTCGACCAATCCTGCAACACCAGCTCAACCCCGACTAGCCTCCACGAGTTTTGCTCAAAATCCACTACCGAAGCTTCTTGTCCATTCATTTAGAATCGAATGCACCACCGCAATTCGCTGGGAAACCGATGTGCCCTTCCACTCCCTACACTCTCGAGTCGCGCAACCCATTTCTACCGCGTCGACGCTCCACCTCATCCATCAAAGCACAGTTTTCTCCCACGAGTACCTCCAAACGAATCAGCAATCATGCACCTAGCCTAGCATCCAGGTCTGTCCGCCGAGTCGTTTCCGCCGACCTAATTAATACCGCGGTCCTCGGTGTCGAGCCAGGCTACGTGGAACAATGACATAGGCTCTGCCTAGCCCGCCGACCTAGAAAGCCACGAACCACAGATGGTGTGTGATGCGCTTGATTGGGTCCGCTCACTTTCAACGGCCGTTCGTACAATACATAACGCACATGCTCAAAGCAAAGGGAACGTTGCGGTCAAGCAGCGCACATATTTACTCCATCAACAAACTGCTAATTTCATTGGTCTGCCGAAGTTGGTCTTCTCTGCTCATTGCGTTACCCATCGCCCTCACCTCGAGAGTTGCTGCAACCATCGCCAACGCCCGCCGCAGAGCAAGACCAACGTTCTCCACGCAGCGTAATCCGCGAAGCGCTTTCGCTCCAACGAAACGCTTTCGCAACCAGCTGAGCAAGTTCATCGCTTTCGCGACGCGCGCCGCTCCGTGCTCCATCTCGCTCCTCTTATCACGCCGACCGGCGCCTATGGAGAGCCCTTCACTTTCATCGCTGAGCGATCCTTCCATGGACTTCCACGTCCCACAACCCGTACACGAGCTAGCGACGTCCGCCATGGCTTCCGGCCTTCTTTCTCTCCAGCCGCCCTCGCCCCTCGATTTCAACGACACCATCGACGACTCTATCGACGCCACGTCAGCCACTATCGACGCCTTTAATAGCGCCACTGCCACGTCGGAGCCTTGGGAGGAGGCCATGCGCGCTCAGCTCGCCACGTGGTTCGAAGACCCGGACTTCGTCGACGAGGCTCCGTCGATGGACGTTATTCCCGGCGAAAAAGGCGTTGGCCTTAACCTTGACGGAGACGCGATCGTCGCGCTTCCTCCCGACGCCGTCTTTTCTATGCTGTGCAACGCGCACAACCGCCGAGTTTATAGGAACGTCAAGGCGGCGAAGAACGAGCGCGTCGTGAGTGACTGTAACGGGGTTAAGACGGTCGAAATGGACCTCACGTTCGCCTTCAGACTGCCCCCCTTTACAGGAACGTTCGACTCGCACCTGCTCTTTGTCTACGATCGCCCGAAGCGCAGGGTCACGTTCACTCAAACGCGCAACGGCTTCATGCGCAAGTTCGAAGGCTACTGGCAGGTCGAGTCGCTTCTCATCCCCGCTTCGGCTCCCCCCGTTTCCTCCCCCTCTTCCGCACCGTCTTCCCCCTCGCGCCCTTCTTCCCCCACTTCCTCCGCTCCCTCCCCCCCCATCGGTACTTTCGGCTCGTCCCCGCAATCGCCGCTCTCCGAAGTTTGCGGCGGCCCGGGTGATCGCGATTTGGCTGCAGATTTTGCAGGAGCTTTTGCCGCAAGCACCGGCAGCGGTTACCGCGTGGCGTCGCGACTGGTTTTGCATCAGTTCGTGCTGCCGCCCATCGCGCCTCCGAACATTTTCAAGCGCTGCCTGCGCGCCCTGCTCCGCGAGTCGACGCGCGATGTGCTGGCAATTTTCCAGGAAGAAGCCGCGCGGATCCGCCGCAACAAGGGGAAGGAAGAAGTGGAGGAGAAAGGGAAGGCGGGGAAGAGCTCGAAGCTGGGTGCGATGTTTTTGCACAAGGAGGCGCTTGGGGGGAAGAAAAGTGTGTTTGGCGCGGGGAAGGGGGTTTTCGGGTTGAAGGGACGGGCGCAGCGGAAGACCGCGTGAGGGTCCGGTTGGCTCATCTGACGTTTCTGCATAACAGTACAACGGAGTACAGCACAGTACAGTCTCAGTACGGTGCGGAAAGGTTCCTTCCAGTGCAGTGCATTGCAACTTAGTATGTTACTGTAGCTCAGTACAGCACAGTGGGACGCAGCCCACTAAGGAGTATGGTTGCACTGCGGTGCATGGGACTAATGAGGTACGGGTGTGAGGAGTTGGTGCATTAAGGCGTGGCTCTTATGCATGGTGCTGACAGCAGCAGTTGCCAATGATGGGTGTAGTATGGAGCTGCAGCGATTGCTCTGTTGTCCCCTGGTGTTGTCAGCACCATGCTTTCGAGCAGAGAGTCTGCAACGGTGGGACATTTAGGGTTGAACAGGCTCAGCTATTTTGATACTTTCTAATTCCATTTTTATGTTCTTTCAGTAATGCATTTTGACTTCCTACGTACCTTTGTTGCTTTCTCTCATCCTAAATCGATTCGAAGCACAGAACTAATGATTTGTTGAAGGTACTCCTTCTAGTGCACGCAGTTCAACCTGCACTTCCTTCACCCACATTTCCACAGCGCCCTTCCTTGTCGCTAGTCTTCGTCACTCAGTTTCGATCAAATACGTTTGTGCTATCCCTTGGGGTCGAATAGTTTCCCTGATCGGGGTCGTCGCAGTTGCACATCCCTTGGCACTCCCACGTCGCGTCGCGAAGTGTAGTACTTGGGCCGGAGTCCAAGCCAGCCGCTCATCCCACCGTACCACCACCACATACCCGCCCAGACCGATTTGAACGCGCCATCACCAGTCCAAACCACACAGCCTGTACCAGTGTCATTTCGTTTCTCCCCACCGTGCAAGCAGCAATGCTGACCGTTCGATTGCGGTGTGAGGTGGCAATATTTTCACTCCACCACCTCGCACCACAATCAAGTACTGTACGTCGATTGGCTGTGAGCTACTCCTCGGAAAGTTCTTGGCTAGGAAAGCAAACCGCGGTACTGCACACGTGTTTCAACTCATCCAGCAGCGCACCGTACGGGAATCTCTTGGTTCACAAACACAACCAGGTGAATCATGATCCTTCCCAAGAGCACGCCGCGCCACGTCACGCGATTTCACTAGACTCTACTCGACAGCTCCCAGCCATCCATCTTGCGACGGACCGCCCGTAGTGCCAACCCTAGCGTCCCGTGCGATCTTCGCCGCCGACCTAAACCAGAACGAACCAGCGACTACTCTAAACTGAACACTACGACTAGGTCGGCTCGGCTACCAGTCACTAGTAGTAGTTTCGACTCGACTGGTTCATTTGTTCGTTTTCTCTGGCACGCGGCACCGCATAGCGTTTTATCAGATGGCCGCTAGCGTCGCTCACAACGCGAGCCTTCGGGCCGCCCGGTGTGCGGTGCGTCCAGCTACTGGAACGCCACCCTCCTTCCGTGCAGTCCAGAATCCAGATCCCTGTCGCTTGTGTCCGTCTGCGCTGGCGCGTACGTATAAATTTCAGCTGATAGAACGAGCGAACCATATCACATCATCAGTAAGCCAGCAGACGATACCGAGTACATACGACTACGCAGCGCAGTTCTCGCCTACTAAACAATTTTCTTCGAGCCGTGCTTTTCAGATTCAAGAGCTACAGCTTCGTTCACACTGCTGCCAGCAATCCGTTCGAAGCTGCTCGATTGCCCGCCTGCCATGTCACCCGCTATCAACGCCACGTCAGCCGCTATGAACACCACGTCAGCCACTCTCCAGACCGCATCCGAGCCCTGGGAGGAGGCCATTAGTTCCCAGCTCGCCGCGTGGTTCGCCGACTCGCACTGGACGGACGAGGCGCCTTCCATGACAGTCACCGTTGGAGATCACGGCCGCGGACAGCTGGACGGCGTCGCGACCGTCGCGCTTCCCCCGGACACGGTTTTCTCGATCCTCTGCGACCCGCACAACCGCCGCGTGTTCACGTTCATAAAATCCGTCAAGAACGAGCGCGTCGTGAGTGACTGTAACGGGGTGAAGGTTGTCGAGTTGGACATAGTGTTCGCGCTCAAGGTTCCCTTCTTTACAGGCACGTTCGACGCGCACCTGCGCAACGTGCACGACCGCCCCAACCGCAGGGTCGCCTTCTGCCTGTCGCGCCCCGGCTTCATGCGCAAATTCGAGGGCTACTGGCAGGTCGAGCCTCTCCTCGTTCCCTCTTCCGCCACTTCCCCCGCCGATTCCGCCAGTGTCGTGACTGTTGGAGTGGTTTCCGCGAACCACACGAACGACGGCGAGAAAACGGACCTACGACGACTTCATGACGGTGGCGTGTGGAAGAAGCAAGAAGGAATTACTAAGAAGCATCTAAGATAACTTGGCGTGTGATCTACGCTAAGGGGAAAGGAGAGGATTACTAGGAAGAAACGGGAGAGAAGGAGAAGTGACGGGGGAGAAATGAAGGGAAGGGAAGAAATGGTTTGACGGGGTTGAAGTTGGGGAGAAATTGTGTGGGTCAACTGAGGCGTGTTCAACAAGTTTCCGTTTTTTGGACTTGGGGGACGTTCGACGAAGTTGGGTTGGTTGCGTGTGCGACGCGACGTGAAACATTGGCTAGGGGTTGCTTGTGTGACACGCTTGGTTACGAATGTTTGGGTGTGCTTTGGGTTAGGTATAAAAGTGTTTGTACTAGGCATTTGAAAGTTAACACAATTGCAACACATTTGGTTGGGATTTGTGACTTGTAAAACAGAGTAGCTGTGACTACTGGAGGGCTGGAAACTTGGCTGGAAAGTCTTAGCAGGGCTGCTGGAATTGACTGGATGAGGTAAAACTTCACTATGTTCAAGATTAACAAGCCCACTAAAGCACAACTCTAGGCATCACAAACAAGACAGATTGAAAGCTCTGGATATTTCTGATATAGCTGATTCTGATGTGTAGAAACCTGTAGAAACTGCCAACACTTCGGTTTGAAGGCAGCTTTGAACTATATCGAGTCTTCGGCTGAAATCTGATTGGTGGTGGAACTTTCGAAGTACTTCCCGAAGCTCTGATTCATCGCCGACATTCCCCCTTGCTGCTGCTTGTGTGCAAAGGGCTGGGGCGGCAGAAACTCGATTCTCCAACACTCCCCCTCGCACCAGACCCGAAGCACACATACACCCATGCTGATGCTCCTTTCACATCTCCTTAGCATACACTTCATGCTGCTGCCCACGTCTCTTCCCCTCACACTCCTCATTCTCCTCAAACTGCTCCACTGCTTCATGAAGTGTCATGAGGCCTGCTCTTGCCTTGCACATGTTGAATGCATCATGTGGAAGAACCTTGGTCATGAAATCTGCTGCTTGATCGAATGAACGGCAAAAGTTGACGGCGATAACTCCCTTCTCTAGTTGCTCACGAATGAAGTGGTACTGCACCTCGATGTGTTTTGTACGCCCATGATGAACCGGGTTCTTGGAAAGAGCTACGGCTGAAGTGTTGTCCACGTAGAGCGGAGTTGGTTGAGTTTGCGGCTGCCTCAATTCCTCCAAGAGTCCACGTAACCAGATTGCCTCCCTTGCTCCTTCGGTCATTGCCATATACTCAGCTTCGGTTGTTGAAAGTGCCACACAACTTTGCTTGCGCAATTGCCAAGAAACAGCGGCACCACACATGAGGAAGATGTAGCCGCCGGTAGACTTGCGTGTGCTCAATTCTCCCGCCCAATCTGCATCGGTAAAGCCTTGGAGGGAGCTTGCATATGGGCTGGCTTGGAAGAGAAGACCATGATTAGAAGTACCTTTGAGATACCGAAGAGCTCGCTTGGCTGCATGCATATGAATAGGTGAAGGGGCACTCATGTGTTGAGCTAGCTTAGATACCGTGAATGCTAAGTCGGGCCTTGTGCATAGGGCTGCATACATGAGACACCCAACCTGACTTTGGTACAGAGCTAGGTCTTGTGGGGATACCTAAGTGAATTCTCACCATGATGCTCACTCTCCTCAAGACACAACTCTTTAATACCTATGATATCAAGGCTTGACTCTCTCTCTTCATAGGGCTGATGTGAAGACAAAGGGACAAATTTGGAAGGAAGTGGGGTAGGTGATGGCTTGCTATCATCAAGACCAAACCTCTCAATGACCTTTTGGATGTACCTTTGCTGGAATAGGAAGATGGACCGTGACTTACGATCTCTCACAATGTTCGTACCAAGATAATGACTCGGCTCACCAAGATCGGTCATCGTGAATGCACTCGTGAGAATACCTTTCACCTTGTTGAGAAGATCAAGAGAACCTGAGACTAGGAGGAGGTCATCGACATATACCAAGAGCCAAATGTACTCCCCCTCACTCGTGTGCATGAAGTACAGAGCGTTGTCTCTCATGGACCTTGTGAAACCATGCTTGAAAAGTACCTGCTCAAGAGCATGATACCAAACCCGTGGGGACTGTTTGAGACCATAAAGGGACTTTACCAAGCGACACACTCGACCCGTACCGTCATCATAACCTTCGGGTTGTGCCATGTATACCTCTTCTTCCAAGACACCGTAGAGAAATGCGTTCTTGACATCCATTTGATGGATATGGAGACCAAGATATGCGGCTATGGCGAGGAGGACTCGTACCGTGGTGTACTTTGCTACCACGGCAAAGGTTTCGGTGAAGTCAAGACCTGGAATTTGGGAATAACATTTTGCCACTAACCTTGCCTTGTATCTATCGAGGCTACCATCACCTTTTACCTTGATCTTGTACACCCATTTGACACCAATTACCTTCTTCCCTGGAGTTGGCTCAACAAGACGCCATGTACCTCGCTTCATGAGACTCTCAATCTCCTCTTCCTCGGCTTTCAACCAATGCTCTCTTTCGGGACTTGCCATTGCCTCACGACGACTCAAGGGCTCTCGCGGAAGGTATGATGCTGCCATGCATATTGCCTCTACCTTCTTGTGAATGCAATTCTCACTCTCCTCACATGTGCACCTTGATGACATGTCAACCATGAAATTGAAGGGCTTTTTTACCTTGCGGACTCGTTTACCTTTACCAAACTCCTCAGTTGGCCGAGACACATTAGTGGTAGGGTTCGGTCTCACAGTGTTTGATTGCGTTGATGCGGTCATTTGCGGCTGAGACAACAGCTGCGACATCGGCTGCGACGGCGGCACGGCTGCTTGTTCTTCTCCTGGCGTGGAAATATCTTGATTATCGGTGTTGACTTAAGGATTGGGTATGGTGACTCGTGGCGGTGAAGCTGAAACGTTTGTCGGCATAGTTGGTTGTGAAGATGCTCTTGGTGGGGATCTTGAGACTAGAAGCTTGGGAATTGATGATGACGCTGCCTTGTCGAGAGGTGGTGATGGTTGGGGCTGGTTGGTGTTGTTGCTCGGTGTTGAAGATGGTGGTAACTGATGACGACCGAATCCGGGACGTGGGGGTGAAGTTGAGAAAGGTCTTGGGTGAAGAAGTGGACTGTTGGAGCTGGTGTTGGTGGTGACTCGCTGAAGTGATCCTCGTGCTATGAGCTGGCTTGACGTTGGAACAAGTGATGAACGTGTGGTATGAGAACGAGGTGTTGCGGTGACGGTTGACTTGTTGCTAGGAAGAGTCGTAGATGGTGTTGATGTAGGTACTTGGGGTCTTGTAGCTATTGATTGCTGCTGCATGGGATGATGATGAGCTTCTGTAGTTGCCTCTGGAGTGATGGCTGGTGATGGGTTTGATGGCGTAGTGGTGGGCTGATCCGGTTGGCGTTGAAATTGTGAGGTTGGTGTTGATATAGCTGGCTGGTTTGTGACTGTTGGCTGCTGCTCCTTTGGTGGTGATGGAACGGTGACTTGCTGCGGTGGATTGTCTTCATTTGATGGCTGAACTTCATCTCCACTTGGTTGAGTAGCTGCTGGTGGCACTGGCGTGGCACGGTTGGACTCGTTGACGACGGCTTGAGGGAGATCGATGATCGGTCCGCTATGGTCAGAATCGGTGTCATCTTCTTCCTCCTTTTGTGTTGTTTCCTCAGGTGCGCTTGCTGGTTCCTGTTGGATAGAGGGTAGAGAGGAGGAAGAGGAAAACTTATGCCAACCTGCAAGGGACATGTCTTCATAGAAGACAACATCCCTTGAAACCACTTCTCGCTTGGTGACAGGATCCCAAAGGACCCATCCCTTGCTCTCATTGCTCATGCCGATGAAGAGGCCCCAATGAGCTTTGCTGTCCAGCTTGAGTCTCTTTGCATCTGGAACACGGTATTGGGCCATGGAACCAAAAACACGAAGCATAGACAGATCTGGTTTAACTCCAAACCAAGCCTCATATGGCGTTACACCTTCCGGTAAGGGCCTTGTGGGTCTCCTGTTGCGAACATAAATTGCCATAGTGATTGCCTCACCCCACCAGAGCTTGTCAAGGCCTTTGAACTGAAGGAAAGTGGTAGCTATAGCCTGGATAGTGCGATGAAACCTCTCTGCCACTCCATTTTGCTGAGGACTATAGGGACAAGTGAACTGTTGTTTGATGCCCAATGCCAACAACTCCCCCTGAAACGCTTTCCCCATGTACTCACCTCCTCGATCCGACCTCAAGGTGAGTAACTTCTTCCCTGACTCTCTCTCGACAAGTGCTAGCCATTGCTTGAAACACTTGTGAACTTCATCCTTGGTGTTGATGAAAAAGGACCACGAGAAACGACTCTTGTCATCAATGAAAGACACCAAATATCTCTTACCGTTTCGAGTAGGGTCTCGCATGGGGCCGAAGACATCAGTGTGGACCAACTCTAGGAGGTCCCTTGACTGAGACTTAGAAGGGAAGAATGGCTTTCTAGCTAGTTTACCTTCCACACAAGATGGACATGGAACGGAAGAAAGGGACTTGACTGCACTTTCATTCAAACTCAATCCTTCCACGCTCTTGTGATTTACCAACTCTTTCAATGCTTGCACTCCCACGTGCCCCAAGCGTGCATGCCATACCTCAGCTTGGGAGATACTCCCTTTGTTGTTGACTTGATCGGTTGAAACAGCGGGAAGCGAGACAACGTCGTTCTTCGTGTTGCTAGCACCGCGCTTAATCTCCAACTTCATCTTGTAGAGCCGCCCGGTACGCTCGCCTTCAGCCACCAGATTTCCTGCACTGTCCCACACTTTGGCTTTCCCCCCTTGCAAGAGAACGGAGGCACCTTTCTCTTCGAGCTGTCCGGCTGAGAGCAAGTTTGCTCCCAAATCAGGAACAAACAAAGCTTTATTGACACAAAATGACTTACCATCCTTTTCGAACTCAAGCTTGCCGACTCCTTTGATTGGTACTTTGCCAAGATCAGCAAGAGTCACAGCTTTTGAGTCATATGAGGGCTGAAAATCCTTGAGAATGGACTGATAGGGAGTCATGGTTTCAGAGCAGCCACTATCAAGAATAAACTCCTCACTACTAGTAGAGAAAACGTGCATGCAAGTAGCAGCGTTAAAAAGGACAGGACCATCGGACTCTTTGGACTCATCTTGACTTGTAGAATGACTTGCTATATTTGCTATGGCTGCCTTACCTTTTTCAGATAGTAGCTGAGGTGGGGGGACCCAATTAGGAGGCTTCTTAGGACAAGCATACCACGGGTGACCCCACTCATGACAACAAAAACACTCAAAATTAAACTTTTTAGCATTCGGGGCTTGGCTGAAATTATTGACTCTTGGCATATTGACTCTTGCATTCCTAGGCTGGTATTGATTGGGAATCGAAGGCCTTGGCTGGACATAGTGACTGGACTTATAGGGAGGACTTGACTGAGGAAAACGAGAGGGTTTGTATGGGTTGGAAGGTGACTGAAATTTCGTACCGTAGTAGGGTTGAGGGCGGTTTGGGCTGAAATTTCCTTGCCTCTGGAATTGGTTGCCATATCTTGTGGCTGCTGCAGCACTCCACGCACCTTCGTCACTCCGCTTGTTCCGTGCAAGGTCTCGACTCTGCTGCTCGTTGACAAGGGCCTCAAAGATGAACGCACGACTCTTCATTGACTGCGGGAGCGCTTGTAGTGTTGCACGGAAAGTGTCCCACTCCGGTGTAAGGCCGGTGAGGATGACGGTCTTGAAAAGAGACTCTGGAATCTCCAAGCCGATCGTTGCTGCTTCCTCCAGCATTGCTTCAGCTCGTTGTAGGTAGGCTTGTGCTGATTCATCTTCTTCCATCTTCAGATTCATGAAGCGGCTCCACATCTCGGCTTGGCTGCTCTCGGATTTTGACTGGTGCATAGTCTTCAGTCGGCTCCATGCTTCCTCTGCACTGTTTGCCTTGGTAGAACAGGGCAGGAGCGACTTCAACTGCTGCTCGTGAATGCTATTGAGTAGGTAGAGGAAGGCCTCCTTGTTGCGTCGTTCGTAAAGTCGTTTTTCAGCTTCTGAAGCATCTGCTGCTGGTTTGGCTGCTTCTCCAGTGTAGTAAGGCCACAGATCCAGAAGGGATGCAGTGAGCTCAAACTGAGTTGCCCATGTTGGAAAATCTTTGCCGTTGAACTTGGGGAGGTGAAGCTTAGGCATGAAGGAGGTGAGTGGTGAGTATGTTGTTGAAGGACTGCCTGGTGCAACTGCTTCCACTAATCCAGTAGCTGCTGATGTTGACTCTGAAGCTCCTCCGGCTGGCTGGAGTGCAGGACCAGATGGATTGTCTCCCGCCATGTTCGTATGGTGCTAGGATAGGAACGTGGTGGGCTAGGTTGATCGAAACGACAAGCTCTGATACCAACTTGTAAAACAGAGTAGCTGTGACTACTGGAGGGCTGGAAACTTGGCTGGAAAGTCTTAGCAGGGCTGCTGGAATTGACTGGATGAGGTAAAACTTCACTATGTTCAAGATTAACAAGCCCACTAAAGCACAACTCTAGGCATCACAAACAAGACAGATTGAAAGCTCAAACTAGGCTGATAGACAATGTAACTTCCCTGGTAACTTGGGCACAATCTAGATTGGATGGACCTTGAGTGACTTTGAGTGCCACATGAGGTGCATGAATAAGAAAACTCTGGATATTTCTGTTATAGCTGATTCTGATGTGTAGAAACCTGTAGAAACTGCCAACACTTCGGTTTGAAGGCAGCTTTGAACTATATCGAGTCTTCGGCTGAAATCTGATTGGTGGTGGAACTTTCGAAGTACTTCCCGAAGCTCTGATTCATCGCCGACATTCCCCCTTGCTGCTGCTTGTGTGCAAAGGGCTGGGGCGGCAGAAACTCGATTCTCCAACATTGTGTTCACTTCTGATTGGTCGAAAGTGCTGCAGTGAGATTTCCGTCAAAGTTCCGTAAAGGTTAGGTTGAACCTAGAGACTCGAAAATCCTTCGTGAAAATCGCGTCAAAGCCCCGTCAAGGCCCCGCGAAGGGCCTGGTCTGCAGAATTCGAGTTTGGGGCCGTTTGAGGCCCGTGAAGGTTCCGTGAAAGCCCCGTGAAGGGCGCGTGAAGCAGAAAACGAGCCGAGGGCCCGTCAGGGTCGTGTAAAGGCCTCGCGAAGGCCTCGTCAAGGTCGCGTCAGCCTGGGGAGTGGCGTTTCGCGACCAACAGTGACAGCGTCTCCCCCCTCCTCTTCCCCCCCCGCTGCTTCCTCACTCTCATCTTCCGCCTTTTCCGACTTGGAGGCGGACTCCTTTCCCACAGAAGCCGTCTCTTCCGCTCCGCAATCGCCGCTCTCAGATGTCATGTTTCTCGGCAGCTCTTCCGACAGTGAATCCGAGTCGGGATTGGATTTGGATTCGGATCCTTCTGATAGCGACTCGTCTCGCAGCGCCAGCAGCAGCCCGGATCGCTTCGATGCCCACATAGTTCCGGACCCTGCCGCTGCGAGCGCCAGTGGCGGCGGCATGTGTGGCGGGTTAGGCAGGGATGGCGTGCGCATGGCGTCTAGATTGGTGCTGCATCAGGTGGTGGAGCCGTCGCTAGCGCCGCCCCCCATGTTCCGACGCTGCGTGCACGCGCTGCTCAAGGCGGCCACACGCGACGTGCTTGTCGTTTTCCAGTACGAAGCCGCGCGGATTCGGAGCAGCAAGGGGAGATTCCCCTGGAAATATGGGGCAGAAGCGGGCGCGGAGGAGGAGGAAGGGGGGAAGGGAAAAGGAGGAAAGAGCTCGAAGGTGGGTGCTATGTTTTTGCACAAGGAGGCACTTGGGGGGAATAAAAGTGGTTTCGGCTCGGGGAAAGGGGGGTTCGGGTTGAAAAAACCTGCACAACGGAAGTCATGAAGTGTGGGTGAAGCTGACAGTGAGTGCACTATTACACAGTGCAATGTTTATACAGTGAGCAGAGCAGGGCGCTGCGTAAGTAAGTAATTAATGGAAGCTGTAGTGCTGAGAGCAGCTGAGTCAAGTCTGGATCACTAGGAGATAGATGGTTAGAGAATGTATATGGCCCTCATGCATGGTGCTGGCAGCAGCAGCAGCAGCAGCAGCAGCAGCAAAGGCACCAGAAACAGCAAGCCTGTGCAATCCTCGGGACACACGAGCATATAGCCCTCGTGGGGTCATCAACATGCGCCCTCAGGATTACACAAGGCTTGGCAGCAGTGTGTAGCTTGTGAGGAGAGGAGAGCACCAGTAGTGCCTGCCGCTGTCAGCACCATGCCTTTGAGTCACTGTTGGGTGTAGGTTGGAGAGTGGAACACATAGGGCCCACAAGGGCACCATCACCATGCCTTGTGGTAGAATCGGTAGAAAGTGATCGCTGTTAATTATCAATATATTGCAACCATCTCTATACGGTACTTGCAGAAGAATCCCGATGCATGAAATGAAACCTTAAAGAATTCAGTAGCCTAAAGCACCACGAAACATATACAGGATACTCATGGCCCCAGCAGTTGCAAAGGCATCCACAAACACACTAAAAAAACATCATCCTGGCTTATGTAACTTTTGATATATTAACTGAAATTGTACGGTATACCTATGGTGAGGAGCATGTTCCTTGCAGCGGTGGTGACGCTCGCTCCACAGCCGTCCCGACAGAACAATACCGCGTTTTTGTAACCAATTGATTTCCTGAGCCAAGACATGACGATGACTGGGCGGCGGTGGTGAATGCAGTGGGGACTGCACCCGAGAGTGGTGTGCAGCGAGGAATCTGCTGTTCGTGACCAGTTCATTTCCTGAGCCAGTATATAATGAGGAACGTGGTGCATGCTGCAATGACTGCCCCGAGAATGAGAGTGTCGCGCGACTTCTTTCGCCGAATAGCCCCTGCACGCATGGGCGAGAGGGGAGGGGAGGGGGGGCGGGAGGATAGGAGGGAGGGAAGAAGGCGGAGGAATGAGGAATGTGTATGCCGCAATGACTGCCCCGAGAATGAGCGTGTCGCGCGACTTCTTTCGACGAATAGCCCCTGCAGGCATGGGCGGAAGGCGGGGGGGGGGGCGGGAGGGGGGAGGGAGAGGTTGGAGGAGGGAGGAGGTGAGGGAAAGGGGAGCGAGAAGGAGGGTAGCAGTGGCAGAGGATTTGCATGCACCGGGGCGGGAATACGAGTGTTGCGGGACTTCTTTTGGTGAATATACACGTGCGCACACATACGAACGACTTACCGAGCACGCTTCTCAGAAGAGGGGAAGCGATCCGAGAGCAGCTTGATGCGGCCCTGGATGGGCTTTGAGTCGACTCAGAAGCCGATCCATGATAACCGACGTACCGAGCACGCTTCTGAGTAGAGGGAAGCGGTCGAAGAGCAGCTTGATGCGGCCCTGGATGGGCTTTGAGTCGACTCAGAAGCCGATCCATGATAACCGACGTACCGAGCACGCTTCTGAGTAGAGGGAAGCGGTCGAAGAGCAGCTTGATGCGGCCCTGGATGGGCTTTGAGTCGACTCAGAAGCCGATCCATGATAACCGACGTACCGAGCACGCTTCTGAGTAGAGGGAAGCGGTCGAAGAGCAGCTTGATGCGGCCCTGGATGGGCTTTGAGTCGACTCAGAAGCCGATCCATGATAACTGACGTACCGAGCACGCTTCTGAGTAGAGGGAAGCGGTCGAAGAGCAGCTTGATGCGGCCCTGGATGGGCTTTGAGTCGACCCAGAAGCCGATCCATGATAACCGACGTACCGAGCACGCTTCTGAGTAGAGGGAAGCGGTCGAAGAGCAGCTTGATGCGGCCCTGGATGGGCTTTGAGTCGACTCAGAAGCCGATCCATGATAACCGACGTACCGAGCACGCTTCTGAGTAGAGGGAAGCGGTCGAAGAGCAGCTTGATGCGGCCCTGGATGGGCTTTGAGTCGACTCAGAAGCCGATCCATGATAACCGACGTACCGAGCACGCTTCTGAGTAGAGGGAAGCGGTTGAAGAGCAGCTTGATGCGGCCCTGGATGGGCTTTGAGTTGACTCAGAAGCCGATCCATGATAACCGACGTACCGAGCACGCTTCTGAGTAGAGGGAAGCGGTCGAAGAGCAGATTGATGCGGCCCTGGATGGCCTTTGAGTCGACTCAAAGGCAATTGATTCAGCACCGCTACACGACAGACAGACCTACCCAGCACGCTTCTAAGAAGCGGGAAGCGGTCGGAGAGCAGCTTGATGCGACCCTGAATGGCCATTGAGTCGACTCAAAGGCAATTGATTCAGCACCGCTACACGACTGACAGACCTACCCAGCACGCTTCTAAGAAGCGGGAAGCGGTCGGAGAGCAGCTTGATGCGGCCCTGAATGCTCGCAAAGAGCGATCGCTGCGACGCCAGAGCTGCCTTGGTGCTCGCTGCATGTGAGATGAGCTCGTCCATCTGAAGGGGTGGAAAGGGGTCGGTTGGGGTGCGGTGGGGTGGGGTGCGGTGGGGTGGGGTGGGGTGGGGTGGGGTGGAGTGGGGTGGGGTGGGGTGGGGTGGGAGTGTACATCTCAGTTGGGTAGCGCCAAAGCTGCCTTGGTGCTGGCTGCATGTGAGATGGGCTTGTCCACGCGAAGGCGCAGAGTGAGGGGAGAGGAATGGGGCCGGGAATGGGGGAACGGCGGCAGGAGTGAGGTCATGAACGGAGGCAGGAATGGGGAGAGGAATGGAAAAAGGGGGAAAAGGGGGACGGGAAGGGGGGTGAAAAAGGGGGTGGGTGCGTGGGCACGCATCCGGGAATAACGACACCTCAGAAGGTAAAATGCCTCGGAATGTTTTCGGGGCAGGAGCGGGAATGGGAGGTGAGAAGAGAGAAGAGGGCTGCGGAAAAATATTGCTGCCCCGAATGCCATGATGGTGCAGGCTGTGTTGCTGTGCCCTAAGCAAAGTTGTTACTGCCCCGAATTGCTATGTCACCTGAGCTAGGTGGCATGAAATTCGACAGAAGTAGCCTGAGCTATGATTTATGCTGTTATCTGTTGACTTACATGAGGAATGCTGTTGTATGTAATCACCTGAGCTATGTTGCCGTGGATTGCTCGCCTCTCCAGCAATTGGCTTTGACTGTTGGACCCAGATGGCTGTGCGGAGGTGAAATGGGAGAAGCGTACGAGGTGGAAGAGGGGGAAAGTAAGAGACTAATTGCTGACACAGCCTCATGGGAAGCAGCACAGGCAAGCAGCACACATTATGCAATGCAGACTGTGAAAGCGTAAGAACATGAGAGAGGCGGGCGCAGCACAGGCAAGCAGCACAGGCAAGCAGCGCAGGCAAGCAGCGCAGGCAAGCAGCGCAGGCAAGCAGCGCAGGCAAGCAGCGCAGGCAAGCAGCGCAGGCAAGCAGCGCAGGCAAGCAGCGCAGGCAAGCAGCGCAGGCAAGCAGCGCAGGCAAGCAGCGCAGGCAAGCAGCGCAGGCAAGCAGCGCAGGCAAGCAGCGCAGGCAAGCAGCGCAGGCAAGCAGCGCAGGCAAGCAGCGCAGGCAAGCAGCGCAGGCAAGCAGCGCAGGCAAGCAGCGCAGGCAAGCAGCGCAGGCAAGCAGCGCAGGCAAGCAGCGCAGGCAAGCAGCGCAGGCAAGCAGCGCAGGCAAGCAGCGCAGGCAAGCAGCGCAGGCAAGCAGCGCAGGCAAGCAGCGCAGGCAAGCAGCGCAGGCAAGCAGCGCAGGCAAGCAGCGCAGGCAAGCAGCGCAGGCAAGCAGCGCAGGCAAGCAGCGCAGGCAAGCAGCGCAGGCAAGCAGCGCAGGCAAGCAGCGCAGGCAAGCAGCGCAGGCAAGCAGCGCAGGCAAGCAGCGCAGGCAAGCAGCGCAGGCAAGCAGCGCAGGCAAGCAGCGCAGGCAAGCAGCGCAGGCAAGCAGCGCAGGCAAGCAGCGCAGGCAAGCAGCGCAGGCAAGCAGCGCAGGCAAGCAGCGCAGGCAAGCAGCGCAGGCAAGCAGCGCAGGCAAGCAGCGCAGGCAAGCAGCGCAGGCAAGCAGCGCAGGCAAGCAGCGCAGGCAAGCAGCACACCACAAGAAGGTCGGCGGTGGCAGTGGTGGAAGCACGCGAGGACGAGAGCAGCTCCGCATGCTGCCTCATCATGGCCAGGTTGCCCCTCGTGCGCCGGAACTCCTGCCAGGGGGTAAAGAGGGGATAGGGAGGGGTGTGATGTAAGTGCGGTTGAGTGTAGCGGGATGGAGCTGCCTCATCATGGCGAGGTTGCCCCTCGTGCGCCGGAATTCCAGCCAGGGGAGTCGTGTTTCAGGGAGAGGGGGGGGGCGAGAGGAGAGGTTGAAAGGGGCAGTGGTGGATGCGCGCGAGGAGGAGAGCAGCTCCGCGTGCTGCCTCATCATGGCCAGGTTGCCCCTCATTGCCGATGATGCCACCACCAGGTCCCCCACAGCCTCGCGGCACCACCACCGCCACTACACCACTAGCACCACTACCACCACCAGGTCCCCCACACACCTGAGTGAACTCCTGTAAAACGTCTCGATGCCGAGCCACCTTCTGAGACAGCGATGCCGTGGCAGCCGTGCCCTTTCTTGAGAATTCTATAAAACCAGCCCGTGCCCTCACCACCGACACCGGCAGCAGCAGCAGCAGCAGCAGCAGCAGCAGCAGCAGCAGCAGCAGCAGCAGCAGCAGCAGCAGCAGCAGCAGCAGCAGCAGCAGCAGCAGCAGCAGCAGCGGCAGCGGCAGCGGCAGCGGCAGCGGCAGCGGCAGCGGCAGCGGCAGCGGCAGCGGCAGCAGCAGCAGCAGCAGCAGCAGCAGCAGCAGCAGCAGCAGCAGCAGCAGCAGCAGCAGCAGCAGCAGCAGCAGCAGCAGCAGCAGCAGCAGCAGCGGCAGCGGCAGCGGCAGCAGCAGCAGCAGCAGCAGCGGCACCACCACCGCCACTACACCACTAGCACCACTACCACCACCGAGATCCCCCACACACCTGAGTGAACTCCTGCAGGATGTCCCGATGCCGAGCCACTTTCTGAGACAGTGACGCTGTCGCAGCCGTGCCCTCGCCACCGACACCACCACCGGCAGCGGAGCAGCAGCGCGCCATGCGGTTGTTGGTGTCCGCAAGCCGCTGCAGCTGCGCCTCTATCGCCTTTTCCACCGCCACCACCGACCCCTCGCTGCCGCCCTCGCCCCCCTCGCCGTATCCTGTGGGGAGGAGGGGAGGCGCGGGGAAAGGGAATGCGGGCAGGGAGGCGAAGCGGGGCGAGAAATGAGGGAGGGATGGGAGAGGAGAAATGGGAGGATGGACACGGGTGAGAGGGAAGGGAACAGGAGGGACTTTTGAGTCGACTCAAAAGTCACCTCGAAATGAGGGAGGGATGGGAGAGGAGAAATGGGAGGATGGACACGGGTGAGAGGGAAGGGAACGGGAGGGATGAACCTTTTCCTACCTCGCCTTGTGCGACTTCCGTAACCAGGGGACCCCTTATCAATATGCGACGACAGCATGAATTGCTGACCGTTGAACCACCCGCCGTTGCGCGACCAGCATGCTGCACAGCTCGGTGTATGGCGACAGATGTCGCACAATGTCGCACGGCTGGTCGCAGAGCGTCGCATGACTCACCGCTATGCGACAGCATGCTGCAGAGCTTGGCGTACGACGACAGCTTCACGTCCAGGTCGCCCTCCAGCTTCCGCGCCTCGCGCCGAAGCTCCTCCCACGGCGCGCCCGAGTCGTCTGCGGCCATTCTCCCCTTGCCTTTGCTAACAGCGGTTCGACGAGTTCGACAGGCTCGACAGGCTCGACGAAATCTATCAAGTTCGCGGGTTCGACGGGTCCGATCGCAGCAGGACAATCAGCAGGTCATGCTTCCTCGTCCAGACATCTGTACCGCCGCTTACGGTACTTACGACGCGGGTTCTATGGAGTATTGAGTCCTCGCAGACCTCGTTTTCAGAATCTATAATGCGTGGTTCTATAGAGAGTGGTTTCTCTACATGCTAGGCGACGGTTCTATGCACTGTCTTACAATGTCTAAAACACGCGGTCCTACGATAAATGATATCCACGCGCGTTATGGAGTCTATAAGCCCCTTTCCGCACCACTTGGAAGCATCTACAACGCGGAATATTATAAGGAATACTCGAAATACGGGAGGTCGCTTCAAACTAAATATATCAGCCTCTGATGCGAAAGCCTGGGAACCGCCTAGCCGAGGACACGTGGCAGCACAGCAAGAGCCTAGTTCACTTTACTAGCCAAGGCGACAGGATAGCAGACCCGCAAAGAGCGACCTTCTACTCTCAAACGTCGTGGTTTCAGAAATTCGGCCCGAATTCATCGCGGTGTAATCTGCAGCAAGACGCACTACTAACTAATGTTGCCTCTGCTCTGACATTACCGGTGTAACTTGACCGTCTAGGGATCTCACTAGGAATACTCTGGAATCTGACCGTTGGTTGGGATGGGATGGGACCCACTTGTAAGGAAGGACCAAATGGTTTCCACAAGATGTTAAGTGGTACAATGAGATGCTTTGCATCGCAAGACGGTTTGGAATATTCTAAAACGGTGGCATAGGGTTCGAGAGGTTTTGGTATGTGCGTACAAGGTTGGGGGAACGTGGCACAGGTTTGGAGTCTACGCGAAATTTTCTGGTAACCCCACAGATCGCCATCGCGACAGTACGCACTGGGCCGATCATTAGAACTAAGGAGTTGCGAAAAGTAGTTCTCGTCACGGTTCTATCGGAGCCCGGTAACGCAGCACGTTTCGATTTCGCATTCGCTGACCCCGACAGGTACTGAGGGACCGAGGTTCAGGCGAAACGCAACAAAATAAGGGTGCATTCCTGGCTTCGGGTCTTCCCGTGTTTGGGTCTTCCGAACATTTGGGACCACTGAAAGTTTCCGAGTCGGATAACCCAAAGTCAAATCGCAAATCGCGCGCCCAGCCAAAATTTAATTCGGATGACCCGAAGTGCTGATGACCCGAAGTGCAGGAGTGCACCCTAATTGCTCGGCGGGCAAGGGCGGTCGCGCCAAGTCCAACTGGCCCGACACTCCCACCACTTTTCGAAGTCTAGCGCCTCGGAAGCGCGACGAGGCACGTGTGGTTCTTACCGTCATCGCCGCCACTGCTGTTCCTGCCGTCGCCGCCCCCGCTCGCTGCTTCCCCCGCTATTCTCGCCAACCTGTCTGCATTCCCCTTATTCCGCTCCCCCAACCCATCCCCGCTCTCCCCGCACGCGCTTCTTTTCCCCCCGGCGTTGCCGTGATCTTCATTCCTCACTCCTGTGTCCCCAACTTTCCGCCTTCCCCCCTCCGCCCCTCCCCTCATTCCCTCTCCCTCCCCGTTCCCCCCCGCCCAGCCTTCCCCCTTCTCCCCCTGGCTCTCGCGCGCGCTGCTGTTCCTCCCCGGCCTCGCCACAGGCTTCATTCTCGGCCGCCTGCTGGGGGGAAGCGGGGGAAGCGGGGGAAGCGGGGGAGGCGGAAAGGGCGCAGGGGGGAAGAAGGGGGAGCTGACGGCAGGGGGCAGGGGAAGCAGTAGCGGGCGGAAGGGGGGCGGAGGCAGCGCGGGGGGGAGATCAGCGCCAGTGTTTGGGGGGAAGGCGGAGACAGAGGGGGCGGGGGGGCTGGTGGTGGGGCGGGGGAGCGAGCTAAAGATGGTGCTGGTGGTGCGGCAGGATTTGAAGATGAGTGCAGGGAAGATCGCTGCCCAGTGTGCTCGTGAGTGGGGGAGGGGGGGCTGGTGGTGGGGCGGAGTGAGTTAAAGTTGGTGCGGTAGGACTTGAATATGGGCACGGGGAAGATTGCCGCCCAGTGTGCCTGTGAATGCCGCCCAGTAAGCAAGTGTCTGCCGTATCCCCCATCCCCACCTCATCTCCCCCCCCATCCCCCCCTACCCTCCCCACCGTCCCTTTCCCCCTACCAGATGCGGCAGTGGGCATTCTCACCGGCCTCCAAACCAGGGGAAGTTTGAGTCGACTGAAAAGTCACCCCCACCCCCCGCCTCTCCCCCTCTCCCTCACCTCACCTCCCCACCTCGCCTCCCCCTACCAGACGCGGCAGTGGGCATTCTCACCGACCTCCAAACCAGGTGCGCCTCTCTTCTCCTCCTATCCCTCTCCCCCCTTTTCACACTCCAATCAACCTCTCTCTCCCTACACCAAACTCAACGTCCTGTTGATTGCACGAGCAACACATCCCTATCTCTTTCCTCCCATTTCCCTTTCCTTTCGCTTTTCTTCCTCGCACCCCCCGTTCCTCTTCTCTCCCCCTTCGGCTCATACCTAATCCCTGCCCGCCTGTCTATCGGAGTGCCTACATGCGTGTGAGCAGCAACAAGGCGTTGCTGCGGCACTACGAGGCGTGTGGGCAGCCCAAGATAGTGGTCTCCTGCAGCAACCTCAAGGAGATGTGAGCCATGCTTAGCATTGCGCGACAAGAGTGCAACAACCATTGCGACAAGCTTTGCAACAAGCATTGCAAGCAACAAGCTTTAGAAGTTTGTCGTTGGTGTGCTCACCACACACATGATGCACTCTGCCCCGGGGATTTCACCACCCCTCTCAACTCTGCACCACTTCACACTACTTCACACCACTATACACCACCATACACCACGGTGCAGGAACGAGCTGAGAGGGAAGGCACAGCAGCACCGGTTGCCTGTCTTCACTGTCTGCGATGCTGGCAGGACTCAGGTGGGCCTCAGGTGTTCCTTCAGGTGATACCGGCAGGACTCAGGTGGGCTTCAGGTGACGCTTCAGTTGATGCTTCAGGTGATGCTTCAGGCCATGCTTCAAGTCTGTCTGTATTTGTTGTCCTTCTGTTTCCCATGCTCCCCTCCCATACCCCACCCCAATGCTTTCCTTCCTATGCCCCTGCTCTAAAACCCCCACCCGCAACAGGTGGCAGCAGGGTCCAAGACAGTCCTTGCCGTCGGTCCAGGTCCGTGCTCCCTCACCTCGTTTCACCTATCCCTTCCTGCCACTCATACTCTTGTTCTTCTCTAGCCGCTCCTCCCTTACCACGCCCCCAATCTTCAACCCCCTTCCAATCCTCCCTCCGAATTCCCCCCTTCACTTGCGCTCCCTCCTCACCAAATTTCTCCCTTCGCTGAACCTTTCACGGCCCTGTTGCCTGTTTTATCCTCTCTCTTGTCCCCCACATTGCCCCTCCTCACCCACACCCACACCCCACCCACACCTCTCCCAACCGTCACGGATCAAGCAGGTCCCAAAGCTCTAGTTCATTCAGTTACCGGCAACCAGCGCTTGTTGTAAGCGGTATAGTGCAATGCAGTACAGTGCAGTGCAGTACAGTGCAGTCCACTGCGAGTGCAGCGAAGTGTAGTTTATGTATCAGTGTGTTCATGTTATTATTTGCCTTTTTGACAAGACTCGGGGAAGTGTAGTTTCTGTATTAGTGTAGTCATAGCGACTAATTTGCCCTCTTGACAAAGCTCAGGCCATACAGGGAAGGGAACATGCACTGTACGCTTGCAAGTAATATAATACAAGATAGATAATGCCATCAGCGTCACAAAATGCTCAGTGTGGTGTAGGAGTGCTGGTGTGCTCAAAAAGAGTATGAACACTGCAGGTTCTGAGGCGCCTAAGAGTATGAACACAGGTGCAATGGTGCCAAGTGCAGGGGCGGCTGAGAGTGGAACACTGAGTGCAAGAATGGTCTGCTGGCCCCGTAAATGTGTAGCTCCATCATCCGAGACCCTCAGGCACTTAGCTATGTGCTGGAGCTGGAAAGAGCAACGCCCGCAAGGAACGGCTGGTTGGAATCCTTGCTGGGCGACAGAATGGCCTGCGAGTGGCGAAGCCAGGTGGAAGGGGGAAGAGGGGGTGGGTTTCGAGTCGACTCATGAGGTGACTTTTGAGTGGACTCAAAAGCTGGAGAGAGCAACGCCTGCAAGGAACGGCTGGTTGGAATCCTTGCTGGGCGACAGAATGGCCTGTACCGTTGGCACAGTGGGGTTGAAGGGGAAAGGATTGGGGGGAAAGTGACATGAATGCACTGCAGCTATGAACACTGTTCACTGTTAAGACTTACTGCAGTGCACTCTGCAACACTCACTGCAGTTGACTCCGCAACACTCACTGCAGTGCACTTGGTGACACTTAAGAGTGCATATGTAACACTTACTGTATTAGCGCCATGTGCTGACACAGCAGCGTCTGAATCCACGTCCACACGCATCTGCTCTTGCTGCTGCTGCTGCTGCTGCTGCATGTCCCTCTGCTGCTGTCTGCGCTGCTGCACGAGGCGGCAGCAGGTGAGGGAGATGGCTACGAGGAGAATGGTGAGGGCGATGAGCAGGCAGACGGTGAAGAATGAGGAACCCCATGTGGAGTCAGAGGGGGAGGGCTGCTGCTGGGTGCCTGCGTGGGGAAGGGGAGGGAGGGAGATGAGAGACGGATGTGAGGAGAATGGTGAGGGCGATGAGGAGACGGATGGTGAAGACAGATGAACCCCACGTGGAATTGAAGGGGGAGGGCTGCTGGGTGCCTGCGTGGGGAGGATTGCTGGGCGCGGCGTGTGGGTAAATGAGGCACACGCCGCACATGCATATGACAACCAGGTACAGATGGCAGCCGAACGGAGGCAGCTTTTGAGTCGACTCAGAAGTCACCTCGCGGCGTGTGGGTAAATGAGGCATGCATATGACAACCAGGTACAGATGGCAGCCGAACGGAGGCAGCTTTTGAGTCGACTCAGAAGTCACCTCGCGGCGTGTGGGTAAATGAGGCATGCATATGACAACCAGGTACAGATGGCAGCCGAACGGAGGCAGCTTTTGAGTCGACTCAGAAGTCACCTCGCGGCGTGTGGGTAAATGAGGCATGCATATGACAACCAGGTACAGATGGCAGCCGAACGGAGGCAGCTTTTGAGTCGACTCAGAAGTCACCTCGCGGCGTGTGGGTAAATGAGGCATGCATATGACAACCAGGTACAGATGGCAGCCGAACGGAGGCAGCTTTTGAGTCGACTCAGAAGTCACCTCGCGGCGTGTGGGTAAATGAGGCATGCATATGACAACCAGGTACAGATGGCAGCCGAACGGAGGCAGCCACACGCAAGCAGCCGAACGCAAGCACGTGAATGCTAGCAGCTGTGTAGTCTTACCACCAGCAGCAGCAGCAATTTCCGGAGGGGGCGAATAGAACTGAGCACACGTGGCAGCATCCAACTGGCCGTCAGCTGCAGCAGGCATGTCTGACGGGGAGGTCGCAGAGGAGAAGCAGTTGAAAAAGTACCTGGGGGGAGGGGCAAGGGCGGAAGGGAGAGTGGGGGGGAGTGGAAAGGTGGAGAGGTATTTGAAGGGCAGGAGAGTTTGAAAAGCAGGAGTGCACGGCGCATGGGCGGATGCAGAGGAGAAGCAGTTGAAAAAGTACCTGCGGGGAGGGGGCAAGGGTGGAAGGAAGAGTGGGTGGGGGGGGGTTTAAAAGGCAGGAGGAGGGGGTCGCAAGAAGTGCAGAGCACTCGGGAGGGGGGGTGGAACAGATAGGAACAGAGCGTCACCTGAGAGCAACAGAGCGTCACCTGTGAGCAACAGAGCGTCACCTGAGAGCAACAGAGCGTCACCTGAGAGCAACAGAGAGTCACCTGAGGGCAACAGAGCGTCACCTGAGAGCAACAGAGCGTCACCTGAGAGCAACAGAGAGTCACCTGAGGGCAACAGAGCGTCACCTGAGAGCAACAGAGCGTCACCTGAGAGCAAAAGCATCACCTGAAGTCAGCCTGCCGTTCAGGTGGGGGCAGCGGCACAGAGCCGTTGAAGAAATTGTTTGAGATGTCCCTGTGATGTGATGGGGGGTGAGGAGAGAGGAGAGGAGAGAGGAGAGAGGAGAGGAGAGAGGAGAGAGGAGAGGAGAGAGGAGAGAGGAGAGAGGAGAGATAAGAGGGAACAGGAAACAACTTGTGAGACGTTTGAAAACGCACAGAGCCATTGAAGAAATTGTTTGAGATGTCACTGTGATGTGATGGGGGGTGGGGGGGCCAAGGGGAAGGGGCAAGAGGAGAGGGTGGAGGGGAAACACTGGAGCTCAGGTGGAGGCAGCGGCACCGAACCATTTAAGAAGTTGTTTGAAATGTCACAGTTGATTTGGGTGGAAAGGAAGAGGGGAAAGGCCAACAAGACAGGAGAGAAAGACACAGCTCTCTTCAAGGTCTGGAAATAAGTGCAGAGTGGAAAGTGGAAGTTATTGAAAATGACGTCTAAAGAGGAGGGCGAGGAGAAAGGGAGACCAGATGCTGCTGAAGACGATGTGTATCGAGGGGAAGGGATGAAAGGAGAACAGGACACAGGAGAAAGGGAGAAGAGATGTTGCTGGTAACGTTGTGTATCGAGCGGAGGGGATGAAAGGAGAACAGGAAACTACAAGAGTGCAGAGGGCCAAGTGTCAGGCCATAACATAATACAGATGCAGAGCATGGCATGGCATGTGGCATGGCATGACATGTAAGCGAACTCACACATCGGTGAACAGGGATGGGCTCTCCAGAGGTCATCAGGGAGCGAGCTGGAGAGATTTTTGAGAATCTCACAAGTCGCTCACAAGGCATGGCATGCAACAGCACTCACACGTCAGTCAGCAGGGAGGGGCGCCAGAGGTCAGCAGGCAGAGGGCAGAGGGCAGAGGGCAGAGGGCAGAGGGCAGAGGGCAGAGGGCAGAGGGCAGAGGGCCATAACATGACATGGCAGGTAACGGCTTTGCATGGCAGGTAACGGCTTGGCATGGCATGTAAGGGAACTCACACGTCAGTCAGCAGGGAGGGGCGCCAGAGGTCAGCAGGCAGAGGGCCGGAGAGACGGTTGGAATGCAGATAGCTGTGTGGTGGGGCATGGGAGAAGGGGAGGCATGGGGATGCGATGGGATGTGGTAGCACACGCACGCAGCACGCATTGCAGCAAGAGCAGCAGGGAGGGGCGCCAGAGGTCAGCAGTCAGAGGGTCGGACAGGCGGTTGGAATGCAGGTAACTGTGTGGTGGGGCATGGGAGAAGGGGGGGCATGGAGATTGAGGCGTCTAGTAGCCTACCCACTCACGAGTCCCCCCGTTCCCACTCCCCCCACCACTCCCCCCACCACTCCCCCCACCACTCCCCCCACCATGACCCGCGCTCACCTCACCACCGCACAGCAGAGAGTGTTCAAGGCTCAAAAGTCCCAACCCGCTTCCCACCGCTCCACACCACTCCCCACCCACTTCTTTCACTCACATGTGTTGGATGTTGGGAAGTTGCGTGAGGAAGGCGGGGAAGGGCCCCGAGGCAGCAGCGGAGGAGAAGGAGAAGAAGGAGAGCGATGCGAGGGCCGCCCACGAGGGGGGGAAGGCAGCCGTTATAGGCAGGCGGTAGAGGGAACTGGATGGGGGGGAAAGGAAGGAGAGGAGAGGGGGGGGTGTTGCGGAGGAGAAGGAGAAGAAGGAGAGAGACACGAGGGCAGCCCACGAGGGGGGGAAGGCAGCCGTTATAGGCAGGCGGTAGAGGGAACTGGAGAGGAGGGCAGGGGGGTTACGAAATGGAGAGGAATAAGGAGGGGTAAGGAGGGGCTTGGGACAAATGCCTGAAAAGAGAAACAGCTCTTGAAGGTATAGCAGGAGGGCTTACAGCCGTGCGGTTGCTGTTTACAGCCTTACAGCACTTGGAGGTTGGTGAGCTGGCTCCAGGAATCGGGCGGCTGGCGGCCCTGAAAGCGACTTTTGAGACGCCTTGAGACTTTTGAGACGCCTTGAGACTTTTGAGACGACTTTCGAATCGTTTCCAAAGTCAAGAGTTGTGGCACTTACAGCACTTGGAGGTTGGTGAGCTTGCTCCAGGAATCGGGCGGCTGACCCTGAAAGTGATTATCACCCAGGTCGCTGGTGGGGCGGGAGAGAGAGGGAGAGTGGGGGGACGATGGGAGAGTGAGTGAATGGGTGAGTGAGTGAGTGGGGGGGTGAGTGAGTGAGTGGGGGGGTGAGTGAGTGAGTGGGGGGGTGGGCACATGTGAGGGGAGAGTGCTTGGATGGAAAAAGGAAGACAGGTTGAGATGCAAAACTATGCAACTCCGCTCAAGTCAACTCAGGCTAGCGCACACACATGCAAATCGGCTCAGGTCAACTCAAGTCAACCCAACTGTGCAGCATGCAATTCCGCTAAAGTCAACCCAAGTCAACCCAGGTCAACTCACAGGGTCACAAGGTCGGTGAGCGCGCCAAGTTCTTCGGGCAGCTGGCCGACAATTTGGTTCTGCCCGAGAACAAGTGCGGAGAGGCGAGAGAGGGCAGAGAGGCCCGCGGGGAGCGAGCCAGTGATGCGATTCATATCCAGATGGCTGCAGGGGGGGAAGGGGGATGGTGGTGTGACATAGAGGGTAGCAGGTGGGGGTGAGGGGAGGGGAGAGAGGAGAGAGGGCAGAGAGGCCTGAGGGGAGCGAGCAGCTGATGCGATTCATGTCCAGATGCCTGCAGGTAGCAGAGGGAGGAGGGGGGTGTGACAGAGCGGGTAGCAGGTGGGGGTGAGGGGAGGGGAGAGAGGGAGAGAGGGCAGAGAGGCCCGAATTGAGTGAGCCGCTGATGCGGTTCATGTCCTGTCCAGGTGCCTGCAGGGCCGGTGGGCAGGGAAAAAGAAGGCGGGAGTTAAAAACGGGCTTAGAAACCAGGTAGAGAGCAGAGCGACAGAGAAAGCACTAGGTTCAAGAGGAGCATACAAACGGGTGGAGGCAGGCAGATACGTCATTACATCATTGCATGTTAGATTACATCATTGCATGTTAGATTACATCATTGCATGTTAGATTACATCATTGCATGTTAGATTACATCATTGCATGTTAGATTACATCATTGCATGTTAGATTACATCATTGCATGTTAGATTACATCATTGCATGTTAGATTACATCATTGCATGTTAGATTACATCATTGCATGTTAGATTACATCATTGCATGTTAGATTACATCATTGCATGTTAGATTACATCATTGCATGTTAGATTACATCATTGCATGTTAGATTACATCATTGCATGTTAGATTACATCATTGCATGTTAGATTACATCATTGCATGTTAGATTACATCATTGCATGTTAGATTACATCATTGCATGCTAGATTACATCATTGCATGTTAGATTACATCATTGCATGTTAGATTACATCACTGCATGTTAGATTACATCATTGCATGTTAGATTACATCATTGCATGTTAGATTACATCATTGCATGTTATACTACATCATTGCATGTTAGATTACATCATTACATGTTAGATTACATCATTGCATGTTAGATTACATCATTGCATGTTAGATTACATCATTGCATGTTAGATTACATCATTGCATGTTAGATTACATCACTGCATGTTAGATTACATCATTGCATGTTAGATTACATCATTGCATGTTAGATTACATCATTGCATGTTATATTACATCATTGCATGTTAGATTACATCATTACATGTTAGATTACATCATTGCATGTTAGATTACATCATTGCATGTTAGATTACATCATTTGTTGGCTTGCATCCAGCAAGTGTTTAAATTGCATCACCCATTGGTAATGCAAACATTTTTGAGACGTCTCAAGGCATTTTTGCAAACTCTACTTTCTACATTTGTTGGCTTGCATCAATTACCCATTGGTAACGCAAACAAGCCAAACACACTCGCAGCGTCTCGAGCGCAGTCATGGCTGTGATATCTGCAGGCAGTGAGTCGATGCGGTTGCAACGACTGATGAGGCTCCATGGATAGCGACTCGCAATGGCAGTAGCCCCACACTCACAGCGTCTTGAGGGCAGTCATGGCTGTGACGGCTGCAGGCAGTGAGTCGATGCGGTTGAACGTCAGGTTGCTGCGTGCGTTCGTGAGAGAGGGTGAGGGGTGGGTGGGGGGGGTGTTGAGAGGGGGGAGGGGAACCAGAGCAGGTGGGGGAAGAGGGGGTGTTGACGGAGAGATTGTTGTGATCGGAGGAGGGGGAGTGGGAGAGGGAGGGAGGTGGAGCGGAGTAAAGAGGGGTGGAGAGGGCGAGAATAGGGCGAGTTAGGACCGTTGGATCCGAGTCGAATCTATCCTTTTATGCTTGGAGAGGGCGAGCCGAGGGGGATGTGGGGGGTTGAGGACTGAAAGGAGCAGGGACATGAGTAACGAGGGGAAGGAAGGTCAGTTAGGGCGGGAAATTGCAGCAGCAGCAGCACAGCACGGCACGGCAGCAGCTTAAGTCAAACCCCACAGGCGTTTAAGCCAAGTCTTGTTGAGGTGTTTGATTCAGTCACGCCTTACATGCTTCTGTTAAAGCCCAGTGCTTACAGGTGTTTGAGGTTGGGAAGCAGGGCAGCAGCAGGAGCAACAGCAGCACCGGCCACCTCATTGCCACTCAAGTGTGCCCGCTCCAACCGCTGCAGCGCTGTTAACCTCCCCTCATACAAGCCCACCAGCCGTACACATGTATTTCAGTCAGCCCTTACAGGTGTTTGAGGTTGGGAAGCAGCGCCGTTGCAGTGCCACTCAATTCCACCCGCTCTAGCCGCTGCAGCGCCGTCAACCCAACCCCATCCCCCTTCCCCTGCCCATTACAAGCCCAGCCTTAAACATGTGTGTCACCCGACCCTTACAGGTGTTTGAGGTTAGGAAGCAGGGCAGTAGCAGCAGAGACAGCAGCACCGGACACCTCATTGCCACTCAAGTCCACCTGCTCCAATCGCTGCAGCGCCGTCAACCTCCCCCACGGGATCTCCCCCCTCAGCGGCCCCACCACCCCCGCCGCTACAGCCGCCGCTACAGCCTGCTGGCTGGCGCCTCGGGCGGTGAGTTGCTGCGCAACAGCTGCTGGAGTGGCCCCTCTGGCCCATGATGCGTTGAGGGATGCCAGAAAGGGGTTGGCCAAGTCGCTGAGGGGGGAGGGGAGGGGAGAGATGGGGGGAAGCGGGGGTGGGGGAAAAGGGGAATTGAGGCGGGGAAGAACAAGGGGGAGGGGAAAAAGAGGTCGGACACGTGCCCTGTTAGCGCACCATGATACCCCACCGGTGTCCCCCGCCGCTACAGCCGCCGCTACAGCCTGCTGGCTGGCGCCCCGGGCGGCCAGCGGCTGCGCTACAGCCGCTGCAGTGGCGCCTCGGGCCCATGATGCGTTGAGGGACGCCAAGAGAGGGTTGCTCATGTCGCTGTTGGGGGAAGGGGAGGGGCGAGAGGGGAGAAGGGGGGGAAGACAGACAGGCAGGCCCATCCATCCATGGTATGTGACCGACCCCCATGCCCCATGGTTGGCTGGACTTGTCAGTAGCGGACAGGTGGGCTGCGGAGGCCTTACATCTTGCACAAAGAGAGCAGGGGCGAAGATGGGGGGAAGACAGACAGACAGACCCATCCATGGTATGTGACGGACCCCCATGCCCCATGGTCGTCCCACTTCGCCCCACTTCACCCGACTTCACCCGACTTCAACCCACTTCACCCTAACACAACGCCCAACCACTTCACTTCAACCCACTTAACTGCACAGTCACCGCAGTTCACCGCACGGCACCACTCACATGGCAACGACACGGCCTGTGGAGTCGCAGGTGACAAACTGCCACGTGTCAGCGCAGGGCTGCGACAGTTGGCCCTGGCGGTTGGGCGAGGGGCCGTCAGACCACCTCCCTGCCAGGGAGAAGGCGGGGTGGTCCCCCAGGGCTTGCTTCAGCGCCAGCAGCGCGCTCGCTGGGGGGAGGAGTGGGGCACGGGGGGGGGGAGGAAGGGGAGGGGTGGAGCACGGGGAGGGGAAAGGCGGAGGAGATTGAGCGAGGGGCCGTCAGACCACCTCCCTGCCAGGGAGAAGGCGGGGTGGTCCCCCAGGGCTTGCTTCAGCGCCAGTAGCGCGCTCGCTGGGGGGAAAGGGGGAGGGGGAGAGGGAAGGGGAGAGGAGGCAGAGAGAGGAAGCGGAGAGGGGGACATAGGCGGAAGGAGGAGATGGAAAAGGCAGAGCGGCTCCCCATTGATTGCTTCAGCGCCTCCCCCCGCCATTACCGCTCGCTCTCCTCCTCATCTCTCGCCTCCTCCACTCACACTCGGCCGATATGATTTCGTCCGACGCGGGCGGCTCCTGAAGAACGCGGCGAGCCGAACCGCCACGTGCGGCACCACGTGCGGCTTCAGGTGCGGCCGCGGCGACGCAAAACGGCGATAGCAGCGTCGCGAGGAGCAGTAGAGCGCAAAAGGGGACGAGACTCGCGGGTGGCTGCGAGCGTGACGATGGGGATGACGTCATTGCGGTTGTAGTAGGAACGGCCACGTGGACGTAGCAACGACCGCTGGTAGTGAGTGATTGCGAGACAACGGCTACAACGATTCGTGCCCTAGACCACTGGGCGAAACGCGAGCTTCTTCAGAGGTCGCGCGGTGCGTACGTAACCCTGTGTGAGTCTGCAGAGGTGACGACAACGGCGGTTTGAGATACGAGCGAGCTACGCGGTGGACGCAGGGGACGGCTGCCACTGGCTACGCGACTGGAAACGGAAAATTCGAAACAGGTTACGCGAGTGGAAACGGCAGATTCGGTACACGCTATGCGACAAGAAATTCGCCAACCGCTACGCGACTGGAGCAAGGTATCCGCTAACGTCTAGCGGGATGGATGAAAATAAAGAACGTGTACGCGACTGCAACGGCTGTTTGCTATCGACTGAGACTAAAAAGGGACTATGCGGAGTAAGCTATGGCGGAAAGGAACACAAGAAACACAGTATCAATCAAGTGTCAAGGCTGTCAAGCACGGAACCCATCCAGGCTTTCGCTCGCGAACTGCTGCTGGGTGAAGGTACAGAGTGAGGCGGGGAGGCAGCCATGAATCTGGAATATCATGTGGTGGTTATCGGTGCGAGGGAGATTTCTCATGGCGCGTTGGGCTGCAGTAACGACGACACGACACGGGAGGGTTGAGAGAAACGACAATCGCCCGCCAGCCTGGGTGACTCGAGGTTGGCGAAACGTCGAGGCAGGTAGTTGGCGAAAGGTCGAGACCTGTGGTTGGCGAAAGTTTGAGTCCTGTGGTTGGCGAAACTTTGAAGACTTGCTTCTGCGATAACAAGCTGCGGAAGTTGGTTTAGATAGTGTAAGGAAAATTCCTTTTCCTTACTTCGCGACCCTGCTCAGCGCGTACACCACTATTCCCGCCAACAGCACCCAACAGTGATCCGTTACCACTCGCGACACTCGCCTCGACACTATTCCCGCCACTGTTCACGACGCGACCCAACCTCACGGTTCGGTTGGTAACCCGCGCTCCGGACCTCCGCCTCGACAATTCCCAACCTCGGCGCCAGGCCCGTCGCGCACCCCATTTTCCACGCATTACCGTTACCACTGTAGTTTTGCTATATATTCTTCGCTCATGCCTTCGCTCATTGTACTCTTGCTTCGATAGTGCAATTCTCGCTCGCTCACTCAATTGCACTCGTAACACTTGGTATTCAGAGCCTACGATCTCTTCTCGGACCGCACCCACACCTTCGCTTCCCCACTATCTCAATTTTTTGGGGGGGGGTAGACGTCTCTCAGCGACACAGCACCGCCGCTCGTAGTGCTCTCTCGTAAGCACGCACGGCCCCGACAGAGGCTCTCGCTGAGCTCGCCCGACACCCCCGCCATGGCCGAATTCACTCTCGCAACATTGACGCAGGAGCAGCTCGACCGTCTGGTGCGCCAAGTTGAAGATTCGGCGCTCGAAATTGCGACGCTCACAGCGGAACGTGACTCCGCGCGTCAGCAATCTACGACGAACGCTCCAGCATCACAAAATGCACCTGCACAATCGGACGAGCCGATCGTCATCTCGTCCGGCACACCAACACAACATGACAGCGTGGGACAGCGCTCAGGAGCAGCCAGTGATAGCGCCGCCCAACCAATGCCTGGCATGGGAGGAAACAGGGTCGCGCCAAGCCCGCGGGAGCCTCGCGAAGCCCGTCGGCACGTGGAGTTCGCGGCGACAAGTGGCGAACAGGCCATCATGGCACCAATGCCACTCAAGCCGCAACGCCCGCCCTGCTTCGACCCGAGCCAGCGTGGAGGTCCGACGGTTCAATCGTGGGTCTTCACGATGAACGTCTTCTTCGACGCGAATTACGTCGAGTCGGACGCAGCAAAGATTTGGTATGTCGTTTCGCTGCTAAGGGGCCCCGCCATGGACTGGTGGCGAGTCATTGTGACGTCGCCACGCGCCTACGAGCCACCGTCGCAAGAGGAAGGGCCCACGGGTCCAGCTGTCACCTGGAGTTCATTCTGCGAAACCGCCCAATACAGCACGTGGGATGCGTGGTGCGCAGGGCTTCGGGCGCGCTTCGAGCCGATCGCGGCTTCTATTTCGGCGCGTCAGAGATTGCGCACTTGGCGGCAGCTCGGGTCGGTTCAAGATTACACGAGCGGTTTTCTCGCACTTTGCGAACAAGTCGGCTACATGCACGAAGCGGAGCGGGTGGACCGTTACGTCGGAGGGCTGAAGCCGGACATCTCGCACGAGATCATGCTACGCGGGCTCTCGAACTTCAACGAGATTCTCGCGCTCGCTGAGAAAATCGACATCCTACGCCGACCGAGACCGGGGTCCTACTACGGACATCGTCCTCGGGGACCGATCGAGCACGCCACTGTACACGCTGTTGCGACGAATGCAGCTGCCGCGCCGTTTAAGGGGCGCTGCTTTGCTTGCAACAGGCCGGGCCATCGCAAGAGCGAATGCCCAGAGGAGCTGAGGCGCCGCGGAGCAGAGCAGGGGAGGGAGTCTCAGAGGCAGGGAAACGCCAGCAGTCAGTAGGAGTCGGGCCAACTACTGACGAGACTGCCTGCTCGCCCAACCACACCGACCCTCACCGAGTCACAGTACCGATTCACGCCATCGATCGGGCTCGGACGAATAAGGAGGGTACAGCGACGGATTGCCCAGTACTGATCCACGGGAAAATACAGGGAGCAGCAGTGAAGATATTTATCGACGGAGGAGCAAGCCACAGTTTAGTTAATACCGCAACCGCAAGGAAACTGCAACTGACTCTTAGCCGGTGCTTACCAGAGATTGACGCACGCTTAGTTGACAGCACGCCGCTGGCCATACGGGAAAAGGTGGAAAGAGTAAAAGTTCGCTGCGGGGGGAACTTCGGGTTTACACAGGAAATGCTCGCGACGACACTGGATGGGCACGACATTTTACTAGGACGCGATTGGCTGCGACGATATAACCCGCGAATCGACTGGACGACGGGTAGCTGCACTGTGCGAAATAACGGTAACTGGGTCGCGCTACCTCGCTGGCAGTCGTCCGAGCCTTCAACGGTCCACGTCAACGCCATCACAATGAAACGGGCAGTCTCCGCTGGAGCTGACGTGTACGCAGTGGACATTGCAGTAGTAGGAGAAGCAGAGCAGCCGAACGATTTTCAGAAACTGTTAGCCGCAGTACCACCCGAACTACAGGAGCTGTTGAAACGGTACCCGGGGATTTTTCCCGACGACTTACCGGAGGGGCTGCCGCCTCAGCGGGCGCACGACCATAGGATAGAGTTAGAACCGGGGGCACAGCCAACTGTACAGCGCCAGTTCAGACTGACACAGCCCGAGCTCGACGAACTGAGGAAGCAGTTAGATTATTTGTTAGAGAAGCAGTTTATCCGGCCGAGTTCGTCACCATTCGCTGCACCGATACTGTTCACACCGAAAAAAGACGGAGGGTTTCGCATGTGCATCGACTACCGAGCGCTCAACAGGGTAACAGTCAAGTCGCGGTACCCCATTCCCCGCGCCGACGAACTGATCGACCAACTGCGAACAGCACGGTTTTTTTCGAAAATAGATTTACGAGGAGGTTACCATCAGATTAGGGTCGAACCATCGGACTGCGCCAAGACAGCTTTCAGGACTAGGTACGGGTCGTTCGAGTATACGGTGATGCCATTCGGGCTGACCAACGCACCGGCGACATTTCAGATGACCATGAACGAGGCGTTTAGGCCACTTTTAGATAAATGCGTGATAGTTTACCTCGATGACATCCTTGTTTACAGTCGTGACAGGCAGCAGCACTTAGCGGATCTGGAAGCAGTTTCTCAGATTTTAGATAAGCATCGGTTACTGACCAAAGGTTCTAAGTGCGAGTTCTTTCAGGATAGGCTAGAGTTTTTGGGGCACGTTATTTCGGAGGCTGGGGTTGAGATTGACCCAAAGAAGCTGGACACTGTCAAAGCCTGGCACCCCCCGACGAATATCACGGAACTGCAGAGTTTTTTGGGGTTTGTTAATTACGTCCGTCGGTTCGTCCCCGACATGGCTCGCTTAACAGCCCCACTGACGGATCTGCTGCGGAAGGGGGTCGCTTTTACGTGGGGGGAGAAAGAGCATGCTGCCTTCTCTGCCCTGAAAATGTTCTCTGCTCACCGCCCGTCCTGCGCATCGCCGACCCACACCGCCCATTCGAAGTAGTTACCGACGCAAGTGACATCGCCATCGGAGCCGTACTGCTACAGGATTTCGGCAACGGCCTACAGCCCATCGCATACGAGTCACGAAAACTGCATCCGCCCGAGAAAAATTACCCGATACACGACCGCGAAATGCTTGCGATCGTGCACGCGTTCAAGGTATGGCGCTGTTACTTGACCGGCGCGGACGTGACAGTACGGACAGACCATAAATCACTACAGTATCTTCGCGCACAGCCACACCTCAACCCACGACAGATTCGCTGGCTCAATTTCCTCGAGTCAAACTTCCACTACACGGTCACCTACAAAAAGGGAGCATCCAACATAGCTGACGCACTGACCCGCCCCACTGCCCAAATCCACGCGATACTACTCGCCCAGACCAGCCCACTACTGTTAAATAACGACATCTGTTAAATAACGAGGAATGAATTGACTAAGGGAAAGTGGGTACAAAAGCAAACCCTAGAAAACTGTACCCCATATGTGCTACCCCACTATAGCCTACAGTAGCTATGTCATATAAATCTGACAACATCGCCATTGGAGCCGTACTGCTACAGGATTTCGGCAATGGCCTACAGCCCATCGCATACGAGTCACGGAAACTGCATCCGCCCGAGAAAAACTACCCGATACACGACCGCGAAATGCTCGCGATCGTGCATGCATTCAAAGTGTGGCGCTGTTACTTGACCGGCGCAGACATGACAGTACGGACAGATCACCGATCACTACAGTACCTCCGCGCACAGCCCCACCTCAACCCACGACAGATCCGCTGGCTCGATTTCCT